TAAGAACATGATATTAATTTTAAAAAAAAACTGGACACTGACTACAGGAAGCATCAGGATAGATGAGATCAAACAGTTAGGTTCTAAAGGAGTACCTTGAGAGATGAGGAAAGAGGGATAGAAGGTTTAGAGAGGGAATTGCATAGCCTAGATCCAAAACAGTTTAAAGCATGGTCACCAGTGGAACAGTGATTAAAATCAGATTTGTGCAAGATGCCAGAATTAGAGAAGTGCAGCAATCAAAGACTTGTAGGACCAGAGAAAGTTAGTGCTACAGTGAGGCCATGGAGTAATTTAGAAAAGAGAAAAAATTTGAAATCAAGGCACTGCTTGATGGTGTAGGTAAACAAATACAGGGGTGATGGTTGAATGAGTTTTGCCATGATTGAAGACATGGGCAGCAGAATTAATGGCTGCACAAATTATGTAGGGTTCAAATTGGGAAGCAAACATAAGAACATTCATTGTACCATCAAGCTGAAGCAATCAAGACATGGATGAGCTGAGACAGGGTCAGAATTCAATAGTGTTGCCACAGTGATAAAGCAGGTATATGTTTGAAGTTAATCGGGGATCAAACACAACTGCAAGTTTGAAAATGGGTTTGTTCAGCTTCAGAAAACTGCCAAGGAAACAGTGACCATGGAGCAAATTTATGGTCAGGTTCAAAAATAATGGCTTCAGGTTCCCATTATTTTACTGAAATAAATTTCTGCTTATCCATTACAGGATATTGGACAAACAGTGTGACTAATCAGAGACAGTGGAGGAATTAGGAGAGTTGGTGGAAAAAGAATTGAGTGTCACAAATGTACACATGATGGTGAGTCTTTTGGATGATGTCATCACAAAATGGAAAGCAGCCAAGCACAGATCCTTGGGGTCTACAGAGGTGTGGAGATGTAGGAGCTAGAAAAGAAGCATTGCATTGAACTACTGGTTCCATTCTTATCAATTGAATTATTGACAATAAACTATATAACAATTTTACTATTATAAGTGTGCAGCGTTTCATTTCATCATGGTTCAGTTGTTGAAGACTTCTAAAAGTTCATTGTGTTAAATTGTTCTTAATATCCTCTCAATTCTTTTCCTTTTCTCCCTTTCTTTCCGTACCTTGTAACATTTTAATTTAGGCTTCCTTCTAAGTTTTTGTGCTGTGTGCATCTTCTTAATCAGTGAGATTGGAATACAGTTCATAATCAAATCCCTGGGTGACCTGCTTCATTCACTGTTCACATAATCAGTAACTTTGTTATGATTATAAAGCTTAAATGAAATGAAGTTCATATGATTATTATATTTTCAGAAGGGAGCTGCATCATTCGGGTCAATAAAAGGGGTCACGAGGCCTGTTCTGTCTACTTAATAATAGGCCTGGTGTTTTGATTGTTAAGATTTGAATGGAAGGCTTAGATTATATTTCTGAGAAGAAGGTGCAAAGTATTTACACATGGAGATAATGGCAGCAATTTCTGAGAGTCCATATACATCCAAAATAAAAGGAAGTTGAAGTCAAAAATAGCTCATTAACATTTCTATCTAGATATAAGTTTGTCTGTGTTTGCTGACGCCAATGCATGTACGCTTCGTGCAACTTGCATGTTGCATCAAGTTGTCATGGGAAGAGGAAGCCATTTTTGAGATCAGGTTACAACTTCACTACAAATCAATGAATCTCAGACAAACAGTAGTTCTGTGTGGTCAGCCAAGAGAAGGACAACCTGGCTTTGTGGACTAAAACAGGTAGATGTCAGAAGGATATAGTCTCTAGTTAAAGAGACACATCCTGCAGCCTTCCAAGGTTTCTGGAAGATTAGGTCTGGCAAGGCTGGAGGAAGAATCATCAAAATATGTTTTACTGATGGTGGTAGATTAACAAAACTCTCTGAAAACCAAGGAAGGCACCAGGTCATTGTCACTGAAGTATACCATTTAGCAAAGTATGTTATGGGAATCAGAGCTATGCAGCAACTTTTAATGGTTTGCTAAAAGAACTGTAATTCTGTGAAGTGTGTAATTGGTTATAAGTATACAAAAGGGGACATTACTTTCTCTAGTTTAAAGTAGAGGTTTCTTACAAAAAGCAGTGTTTAGTTAATAGCTCTTCTAAATCATCTGTTACAGTAAAAAAGTGACAACATATCTCTAAAAATAAGATGAATTTGTTCCTATTTTGAGATGTTTTCTATCATCAATTGATATCACAAGCTACAGACAATCAAGAGTTAATCTTTTCTGTCCTGAATCTGATATATTATACACCAGTTTACATATAATGAATCATACAATGAGATGAGACCTGTATTCAGATCATTCAGATCACTTTTCATTTACTACTTGGTACAAGAATGTATTATACAAAGTAAATTACCTTTGGCTATACATATACTTCACAAGGAAAAAGACATTGATTACAACAGTAGCACTGTTGTATTTGCAGGAAACAAACTGCTTTGATGGAGACGCAAAGTCTGCAACACTTTGAGAGCTCACATGACCCAGTTTGTGGGTGTAAAAACAATATTGCATCTGAACCAATCTGAACACAGAGAGATAGCCTGCCTACAAGAATGCCCTTTGTGCTCCCTCTCATTTTTCCATTAAACCTTTCTCAATATTTTGTTGTAAATCCACTGGGAAACCTCATCAATTCAAGTGGAGGATTGTAAAGGAGAATTTGAAATCAATACCACTACCTCCAGAAAAATGAATTCAACCAACTACAACCTCAGTATGCGAAGTGACTTTGGCTACAGACCAACATTTGGGCAATGTGAATGCTTTTTTCTGAAATTAATTTTTATTTAGCCAAAGATAACAGTCTACAGAGTTTTTACAAATTTCCCGGAACTGGTATATGTTACTTTTCAAAAAGCTAGGTGCATATATTTGAGACAACAAGGTGCAGGGCTGGATGAACACAGCAGGCCAAGCAGCATCATAGGAGCAGAGAGGCTGACGTTTCGGGCCTAGACCCTTCATCAGAAAAGCATATATTTGCACAGTTAAAATCTTAATGTTAATGATCTTTACATAACAAGTTTAGTTCACAATAAACTAGTTCTTTATGTATTACTAAAGGAACCAGGCTGATTTGTTTCTGATGTGGAGATATATAAACAGTCTATTATATATTTAATTGCAATAACATCACAAGCTTTATGGTTACCAGTGGAGGAGTGAGGCAAGGAAAGGGATCAAATAATCCCTTGAAACTTGGTTGTAACTGCTATGAAGGAGAGGTTGACCCCCCCTCTGATAACTAAAACCAAAACACACAGAAAAGCTTGCTTTGCCTCGTAATCGGTTAAAGGAAGTGTGAAAAGTGGTATAACCTGCCTCTTACCATCCCAATCTGTTATAAAGGAGAATAAATGAAATGAACTCCTGACAGTCAGTCTATAATCAACCAGTAACAACTCATCTATCTAACTCTAACAGTGAACCAATTAACAGAACTATTAACAAACCAAACAATACCCCCTTAACTACTAACTATTCCTGAATAAAACAAAATTCTAATGGTATGCTGTCCAATAAATACAAGTCCCACTTCTTTAAACCAAAGTAATATGAAAAATAAATTAAAATATAGTCTTTCAAAATTATAGCTAGGGTAAGTCTTCCAGAAAGCTTCGTATCCTCTCCACTGTTCCTCAGGCAGGAAGGCCTTTCTCCGTCGAATTCTTTCATCAGGAATATTAGTTAAGACTGCCACTGTACTTTTAGTTTAGATGATAGTTTTCTGAGAGCATAGAGAATTCTGTGACAGCCAGTGATTCTTTCTTTTATAGCTGAGAGCTATTTTCTTGGCAGATGACAGCTGACTCTCACACCTATTTTTAAATGTCCTCTTCTTTTATACCCTTGATGACAGATTAATTTCTTACAATAGGATTGGTCCTAGGTTTTCAAAACCATCAGTTTAAATTTAATTGAGTTTTGGTACCTAGGTCCTGTTTTAAATTAATTGGCTAAATTCAAAAACTCATTGTCTTGGTAAAAATGCTGCTTTGTCTCCAAACAGTACTGACTTTTGATACAATGTTTCAATGTCAAGGACTCTCTGTGCATCTGCTGCTGCCTGCAGACATGTTTTAAATCTCCAAGCCTAAGAAAACACATCATCTTTTAAAGGGACCACACACTCTTCCCCCTATCATTTTATACACATCAAATACTCTACCTTTCTTCACAATATCGCTGCCTTAAGAAAAAAATGAACCATCATTATGAACAGATGGCTTCATTTTTTTTCTCTAAGCTTTAATGCCATTACTACTAGATCCACAGGTCATTAATCTAGGGTTACACATTCCATACTGGTTCTACATAAATATATAACATTGAGCACTACCGTTTCTATCTTATATACACATTTTCCTTTTAAACTCACAATAATGCATCCGCAGTAACATTTTCATGACCCACGTGTACAATCTCTGAGCTAAATGCTTATAAAATAGGACTCCAACAAATTAGTCTGGTATTCTTGTCTTTAAGTCTTTCCAAAAATGTCAACGGGTTCTGATCAGTGCACCCAACTGTCTCTGGTACATTGTTTGCAACATAAACATTAACATGTTGCAAGGCCAGTACTCAATAACGCTTTTTGAACGGTTGAATATTTTCTCTGGTGGATATTGAGTTTCTTTGAAAAATACCCAATTGTCCTTTCAATTCCACAATCAATTTTGAAGCCACTAAAGTGATGACATTGAAAGATTGAGACGTTTTAAAAACAAATTAATTCAACTATTTATTGCCTACAATTACTTTGGCATTCTACTGATTTTCATCCAAAAATAGAACTCTCTTAGTGAATAGAAAATTGCTTCCTTTCAGCTACTCTTCAATATTTTTACCCCCAAAGCACAGGTTACAAAATTAAATTGCAAAATAATTATTAGTCAAGCATAAATATTAACTAGAATCAAAATCGGAAGGTAGGCTAGCAGCACATTTGATTCAGCTAGGGAACGTCACTAGAGATGTACCTGGATATTTGTTGACTTGACCTGAGCTGCTAACTTCACCATCATGAAAAGACGATCCGTGCCAATAGACATCACAAAGGTGGCGACGGCCTGTTGGAAACTGGAACACAAAAGACAATAGTTGCCTTTAAAGAATTTATGGTAAATAGTTGCTTGATAGCTCAGAATGTAAACACTGCCAAAAGAGATACAAATGTGAAACTTTTCATCTTGCACCTATGAAGACTGACACACAAAACAAACTTGAAAAGGGAACTATAATTTATATGGCATGAAAAAAAGGTGTTGTTTTCTGAACCATGATTGGCATGGAGATGCAGCAGAAACTGTTAACTATTAATCTTATTTAGCTGAAAAAACCTCATTCCTGTGAAATAGACTGATTTGTCAGTTTGCTGCTAAGAGGAATACAACAATGACTGAACGTCTCCATGACACTTTCCTCGATAAAAAAGGTGCAATGTATGAACATATTCCTTTTGCCTATGAAGTATAGGACCAAACTATATATAGAAGTAGGTTTTAGCATGTGAAAATTCATCATGATGTAAGCTCGATCAATAATCTTGTATTGAATTCTGGTGTAATTCTTCGTAGAGTCAAGATTCCTCAATAAATGTTGACCAATAGCAGAACTGCAGCTAACACTGGACACAGGATTCTGAGGATTGCAAGCTTAGGCAGGTTGAACACGATCAGCATGCTGCCCGCTATGAACATCAATGGGACGCATTATTTATTAGACCATACATCCCAATGAATGTTGGACCGAATAGCCTACATACCTGGCGCAACATTAAACGTAATATCACATTACCCATTTGTGTGGTAGGTAAAACAACTTTGACCTGATGACAGCATCCTCTTAATGGAGAATACCACATGTAAGTAGCAGCATGAGACAGACTTCACTGGTGTCCAAATGCTTGTGACAGTGTCTCCTGCCAGAGTAGTGAGGTCAACTAGGCACTGTACAGAAGCAAAAGAGGTGGCCTTAGGCACTATCCTGAGTTTTACACCAAAATCAGCGAGTGATGATTTGATTAGGATAGACATAAGAAAGATATTACTGTTCTGATATACAGTATTTAAGCACCAAACTTATACAGTGAGCAGATAGCCAGGGCCTTACTCACAAGGTTGCCAATAGGGTTGATCGTGTTGTACATCAAACTGTAGGAATCCAGATATGTATAAACAACCAGTGTAATGTACAATAATGTATTGGTGAACTTAGGATTTCAGTAAATAGTAGTAAAAAACTCATAGGCCCATTTTTCAAAAAACTTTGAGGAAAAGAAGCTTGTTTGATTGCTCCATTTTGACTGGTAACTTTGGAGTGCAGTATGCAGTTTATTTCACAATGCAAAAAGAAATTGATGCAGCTGCAGATTCAAATAAGGCAATTGAGAGATATAAGTTGCACATAGCAAGTTATTTGAGTGATAATTGATGGCCAAGAAATCAAGAGAATTTGAATCCATTAAGTCCACTTTTTTTTCTCGTCATTTGTGGGATGTGGGTGTTGCTGGCTTGCAACATTTCTTGCCCATCCATAGTTGCCCTTGAGAAGGTGGTGGTGAGCTGCCTTTTTGAACCGGTGCAGTTCTCCTGCTGTGGGTTGACCCACATTGCTATTAGGGAGGGAATTCCAGGATTTTGACCCAGCGACAATGAAGGAACAGTGATACATTTCCAAGTGAGGATGGTGAGTGTCTTGGAGGGGAACTTAGAGGTGGTGGTGTTCCCATATGTCTGACGCCCTTGTCCTTCTACATGGAAGTGGTCATGGGTTTGGAAGGTGCTGTCTGAGGACATTTGGTGAATTTCTTTGAAGACGATGGGCAACTGTTAACATTTAATTTCAAAGGTTGCACTTCTCCATTGACAAAGTAGCCTAACCATATCTGGACAGCCCTGGAGAGGGTGCCTGCAATAGCTATTGCTACACTCATGGCCTTTCTTGATCAGAATACCATAAGGAATAGAGTTCATAAAAATAGAAGAAAGTTGGGTAGAGTATTTGATGTTTGTAAAATGATAGGGGGTGGGGGAAAGAGTGTGTGGACCCTTTAAAAATGATGTGTTTTTTAGGCTTAATGTCTGCAGGCAGCAGCAGATGCACAAAGTTCTTCAAGTTGAAACATTATATCAAAAGGCTATAATGTTAGCCAGCAAAGCAGCATTTTTACCAAGACAACAGGTTTTCGACTGTCATCTGCCAACAGCTCTCAGCTATAAAAGAAAGAATCACTGGCTGTCACAGAGTTCTCTAAGCTCTCAGAAAACCATCATCTAAACTAAAGATACAGCGACACTCTTAGCTAATATTCCTAACAGAAGAATTCGACGGAGAAAGGCGTTCCTGATTGAGGATCAGTGGAGAGGGCGCAGAGCATTCCGGAAGACTTACCCAGGCTGTAATTTTGACAGACTATACTTTAATTTATTTTCCTTATTACTTTGGTTTATACAAGTGGGATTTGTATTTATTGGAACAGCATATCATTAGAATTTTGTTTTATTCAGGAATAGTTAGTAGTTAAGGGGGAATTGTTTGGTTTGTTAGTAGTTCTGTCAATTTCTTTACTGTCAGAGTTAGATAAATAAATTGTTACTTGCTGATTATAAAGTGAGTATCACAGATTTCTTTCATTTAACCACTCCTTTATAACAGATTGGGGGAGCTGAGAGGCAGGTTATACCACTTTTCACACTTCCTTTAACAGATTACATGGTGAGGCGAGCTTCTCTGACTGTTTCGGTTTTAGTTATCAGAGGGGGGTTAACCTCTGCTTCATAACAGTCGTAGAAAAATCATTAGCCCATTTCTCAAAATAAACATTGAGGAAAAGAAGCTGTTTGATTGCTCCATTTTGATTGGTAGCTTTGAAGTGTAGTATGGAGTGTATTGCGCGATTTTAAAAAAATTGATGCAACTGCAGATTCAAATAAGGCAACTGAGAGATACAATTTGCACACAAGTTATTTGGCCAAGCTATCAGGAGAATCGGAATCCATGAAATCCGCCTGGAAGACGATGGGCAACTTTTAATGTTTAGTTTTAAAGGTTGTACTTCTTTATTAACAAGGTAGCCTAAACATATCTGGGCAGCCCTGGAGAGTGTGTATGCAATATCTAGTGCTACACTCATGGCCTTTCTTGACCATAACAAACAAGAGTTCATAAAAATATAAGAAGTAGGAGCATAAGTAGGCCATACATCCATCCTTGCGAGTCTGTTCCAATAGATCATGGCTGAACTGATTGTGGCCTGGCTTCTACTTCCCTGACTTCTGATTCCTTACTCCTTTATTCATCAAAAATCTGTCAAAGTCAGTCTTGAATATATTCAAATGATTCAACCTCTATTGTTCTCTGTAGATTCCACAGATTAACAACCTTTGAAAGACATTCTTCTCCGTTTTAATGGGAGATTTCTTATTTTGAAACCGCATCCACTGGTTCTTGATTCCCCCATGAGAGAGAAAATACCTCAACAATAGCCTGCCAGGTCCTCTCTGAATCAGCATTTCAGTAAGATCACATTTCATTCTTCTAAACTTCAATGCGCATAGGCCTCACAAGACAAAACCCTCAACACAGGAATTAACCTGAGGACCTTTGCTGAATTGCTTCCAGTCCAAGCTCATCCTTCTTAAAGGAAGGTGACTAAAACTGCATAAGACTGCAGGAGCTGTCTCACCAATGAGTTTCATGAGACTTCCTACTTTTATACTCCATGCCCTTATAACAAAAACTGACTTTCTATGTGCCTTCATAATTATTTGTTGTACTTAATCGCTAACTTTGTGTTCCAGGTCCTTCCGTGTTGCAGCATTCTTCAGTCTCATTATCTAAATATCCTGCTTTTCTATTTTTCCTACCAAAGTGGACAACCTCATATTTCCCCCCATTATACTCTGTTTATTCAATATAATGACCTACTCACTTATAGTCATAGTCATAGCATGGAAATAGACCCTACAGTCCAACTCACCTGAGTCAACCAGACATCCCAATCTGACCTAGTCCCATTTGCCAGCATTTGGCCCATAACCTTCTGAGCCCTTTCTATTCGTATACCCATCAGATGACTTTTAAATGTTGTAATTGTACCAGACTTCCTCTGGCACCTCATTCCACACACGCAGCACGCTCTGCGTGAAAATGTTACCCCTGAGGTCCTTTTTAAATATTTCCCCTCTCACCTCAAACCTATGCTCCCTAGTTTTGGACTCCCCTACCCCAGTAAAAAGACATTGGCTATTCACCCTATCCATGCCCCTCATGATCTTATAAATCTCTATAAGGTCATCCCACAGTCTCCGATGCTCCAATGAACAAAACCCCAGCTTATTCAGCCTCTTCCTATAACTCTCAAGTTTAACAACATCCTTCCTATAGAAAGGTGACCAGAATTGTATGCAGTATTCTAAAAGCGGCCTCACTAATGTCCTGTGCAGCTGCAACATGACTCCTATACTTAATGTTCTGATCAATGAAAGCATCTAACCATATTTCCTTTCCGATTCTGATTTAAAGTCATTGACCTGAAGCATTAACCATTTTTCTCCCTCTGGAGATAGAAACATAGAAAATGGGAGGAGGCCATTCAGCCCACTGACCTTCGTGACTGACTGTCTATCTCAATGTCACACACCTGCTCTCCCCACGCCCCTTGACAACTTAGTTATCTAGAAATTTAATAATTTATTTCTTAACGATATCCAATGATTTAGAATTCCATAGGTTCACCACTCTCTGGGTGAATAAATCACTCTTCATCTTAGTACCAAATGACCTATCCCATAACCTGAGACCATGACTCCTTTTTCTAGATCCCATAGATGAGGGAACAATCACCCCTGCCTCTAGTCTGACCACCATGTCAGAACTGTGTACATTTCTCTACAATCCCTTCTCATTTTTCTAAACTCCATGAATATAGGAGCACTTGACCCACGCTCTCCTCAAACATATATTCCTCTCTCTCTCTCTCACACACACACAAACAAACAATAATGTATTGAATTATTTCATCAAAGATGTTTGTTTATTTGCAGATACATTCTATTTTGTTCAAAAAGCACACAATTTGTAGTCACAGTCAGTCAGTGTGTCATCTTATAAATTCCTGCTATCGGAATAAAACCAGCCTGATTCCAGGTTTAAAACTCTGAGACAGATTATGACCAAGACCTCACACCTACAATTCAGTGTCTGACCTGAGATGTCACCTTCTGTAGATTCCTATCGCACTGCCTGTTTGTCATGACAACACAGCACTGACATTGACTTTATAAACACTTTACTCACCCTCTAACATTCTTAGTCACCTGTAGAAATTCATTATATGACATTCCACTCACACCAGTTGTATGATCTTTTGATCTCACTGCCCTTGATCTCTCTACCTATAAACTCTGTGTCAATGTGCTCTCCTCTCTCACTGTACCTGACAAAGGGGCTGTGCTCTGAAAGCTTGTGTGATTTCAGATAAACCTGTTGGAATACATCAGATGTGGTCTCATCACAGCCCTGTACAACGGCAGCCAGACATCCTTGCTTCCATATTTAAATTCCCATGCAATGAAAATTAACATACTAATTACTTTCCTAACTGCTTGCTGCATCTGCAAGCTTACATTGAGTGACTGGAGTATAAGAACTCCAGGTCTTCATCTACAATTGACAGTGGCCAGGCTATCACCATTTAAATAATACTCTGCCAGTCTGTGTTTCCTACTGAAGTTGATAACTTCACACTTATCCACATTGCACTGCATTGGCCATTAATTTGCCCATTCACTCAAGTTACCTCAATCACTTTAAACATCCACATCCTCCTCACTACTGTCAGTTCTACCTAGTTTTGTGTTGCCAGCAAACTTGGAAAGATTACATTTGATTTTCTTACCAATACTGCCTGACCTGCCAAATATTTCTAGGAATTTCTGCTTTTATTTTAGACTTCTAGCAAGTGTAGTACTTTTGGACAAGGGATAAAGTGCTTGGTACACATAAATAGTGCCATTACCATGTAGAATTATAACTTTTAGGAAATCTCCCTGCTCTTTAAACAGACAAAGAGCAGGGGAATGGGACTAACTGGTAGCTGTTTCAAAGAAGCAGCATATACATTGTTCTGCATTGCTTGATTCCATTAAATGAAATTTTATGCTTCAACTTAATTAATATTAATTGCACATCCTCACAAAGTTGGGGAGGGGAAATAGTAAAAATTTCCTGTTGACAACAATCCAGTGCTAAATGGGCGTGTTCAAACCTGAGAAATGGGCCAAAAGCAAAGAAAAAACACCCGTTAGGAGCAAAGAGCAACCACCGGACACACACCGTGATTGGCACACTCCTACCTCCTTCCACTTCAGCTGCTGGATACAGATCTTCAGTGCCTCGGATGAAGTCTTGGCTTTGGAGCTGTCCACTGTCACGACGCGCTTGGTTTTCTTCTGCCGGCCGTGACGGCCTGGTCTGCCCTCCTCCGATCTTCGAGAACGCCGTAGTTTTGACGCCTCTTCGCTCAGCGACGCTAAGGCTCTGCGGGCCGCCAGGGGCAACCCCGGGGGCGGCGGCAGCAGTGGGACCGTTGAGGTCGACTTCTCTTTGGCCCCGGAGGCAGAGCCGGACCGCTTTTGCTCTTCTTTGCCCACAGCCGTGTGCACGGAGCTAGGTTGGGGCTCAGGCTCGGGCTGAGGTTCGGCCTCGCTCCCCGCCGATGCCGCTGGCTGACTCATAGCTCGAGATCGGCCTCGCTCTCTGTCCCTTTACACCGCCAACAGCCCGCCTCGCGCCCCATCCCCTGCGCGCGCTCCCATTGTTTACGCGGCCGGTTGACAGCGCAACGGCCCGCAACGGAAGCCGAGCAGCTCATAGCGCCGGCGATTAGAAAGGAGCAAAAAAAATGGAGGGGGCAGGATGGTGAGGGTATAGGGAACCGCAAAGGCTTTTTATCCTTAAGATCAAGTCACAATAATATTGGTATAGTAATTGTAACGAGGTCAGCCAGGTGGACCTCATAGAATATGAGTTCCCTGAGTGGGTCTGTTAACCTGGTCGCTTCAGGGAGCCTTGGCTGACGGATATAAACAGGAATGCCAGAGGTTCTGTTCACTCTGAAAGCTGGATTGGAAGGAAACTTCACCAATGAAAAGTAATATGCACATGTAAATAAAGGGTGACTTGGTAACGAGGTACAGGCCTCTATGGAGTTATTTCAGTGGCAACAAGAGAAAACAAAACGCTGCTGAAGAAATTTGCTTGCAACAGCCATCTCTGAATTGCGGTAAGCTTTTCCGGCATAAAGCAGTTGTTTGGGAAGGTTGACTCGTTCAATCCTGCCATTGAAGGCTGGACCCAGTATGTGGAAAGAACGTGTTATTTTTTCAGGGCAAATAATATTGGGACAGATTAAAAATAATGAGTTATTCCCTTACCTTTTTAAGTTATTAGGAGCCTAAAGTTCCCTGAGGCACCAGATACTAAAACCGTCTGAGAGTTGGTGGATTTAGTTAAGGAATATTACAACCTCAAGCCTCCTCTAATTCTGAAACATTAGAGGTTATACTCAGCACTTTGTGAACCAGGAAAATCCGTTTTGGGATTTTTGATGAGGTGAAGTCAATTGGCAGAGGTATGTGACTTTGCTTTAACCCTTAATGAGATGCTGAGAGACCATTTGGTATGTGGGATTAATGATGAAACCATGCAAAATTGCCTACTAACTGAAGCCCAACTGAACTTCAAACAGGGACTACAACTGGCTTTGTTGTGAGAAGCTGCGGCACATGAGTTAAGAGTATGCCAATGGAAGTGGACACCCTCGCCAAGCCAACTGAGCTTGGGGGACATCACTTGAGTGAAGGCAATTACAGAGCCTTACTCAGGGCATGTCCTAAACAGAGGGACTCTAGGTCAGCTCACAGCAAAACCCCAAAACAAAGCCAAGCCTTGGTCAAATGCTTAAAATTTCCTTCAGGATCAGGGCTAGTAAGCCATTGTAGTTGCTGCTAGTATCCAGACTTGAGAGTCCCACTGGACTTAAATTGAGTAAGAGAACTGATAGGCACTGAAAGTGCTCACTCTGGAAAGCCTACCCGCATCTGGCTTGGAACATTTAAATTGTTCATCAACGTCCAAATCAGAACCAATCAAAATAAACATCTGGTTACATAGTCATCCAATTCTAATGGAGATTGACATCAGCACGGCTGTATCAGTGATAACAAAACCAGTCTTTAAGAAAATTCGCTCTGGACTCCAACTCTTACCTTTTCCTGAGACCTTGGCTAGACCGAGAACCTACACCAAGCAACCTTTACAGATTAAGGGTACAACTTTGGTTTCAGTGTCATATGAGAAGCACCTGGTTCAGTTACCAGTGATTATAGTAATAGGCTAGAGCCCAAGCCTGATAGGAAAAATTTGGTTGAGAGAGATTCATTTTGATTGGCTCAACATTTTTCAATTAGAAAATGGCTGCCTGAAGGAAGTCCTAATTA